AGAAGAAGAAGAAGAAGAAGAAGAAGAAGAAGAAGAAGAAGAAGAAGAAGAAGGAGGAGGAGGAGGAATAATAGCCACTCTTCAACACACCTCATTTCACCCACACACCCCTTTTTAACTGTTCCCTTAGAAAGGACAGACTGCTCTTCACGTTGCCTGTACGACAGGAGCCGTGGATGTCTGTGAGACATTACTGACAAGACTGAAGGACAGCAGAACGGCCGGGGCCGAGGCGGTGACCAGTTGTGTGCTGGGGACAGACAATGTGAGTCAGTGCAGAGAGCGCTATGGCTAAAAAAACCCTTCCAATTATCTTTCTTACTTTACTTTTGCTTTTTTTTCTTCCGCTTGTACCGGTGGGTGTCACGGGGAGACACAGGCGTCTGTCTGCAGCCAGGCGAATGGCCTGTAGGAGGGGCATCCCGTGAGCTCTGATGGTGTCTGCCACAGATTCACTCCTTCGTAGCCTTGGTCTTCCTCTGGCTCTCCATCAAGAATATTTAATGTTGTATGCTCTCAGAACTGGATGGTTTGAGGGCATCAGCGTGAGGTGTCCGAACCATTTGACCTTTTGTTTTTGAATGTGTGGTAGGACTGGTGTTGCTCCTACGGTGTCCCTTATGAATTCATTTTTTATTTTGTCTTTCTTAACTTTCCTCTTTTTTCTTTGGTCCTGTACTTGTCCCCTTCTCATGTGCCATGTTAATAGTTTTTTCGTGTAAGACAATCCTTGACCATGAGAATGTAAGTACAATGATATTTGAAAACTGAGATGGAATGATAAGATAATTTGAATAACAATGATTTGATCTTTGTTAGTATTTATCGTCGATTTTTCAAATAATCAGTTTATTTTCTGAGCTGTCTTGGGGGGTGAAACGCATGCCTTTTCCCCAATTTCCTCGCTTGGAGAGAACATTAAAATTGTATGTCACCGAGCCTATAAATTGATAAAGGTAAGCTAAAAAATTACACTTAAGGACCGCTTCTATTAACTGGCGATGTCGTGAACATGCTAGGTGTCCTGACGAGCGCCTAATTCCACCTCCACCGGGTCTTGACACAAAATGTGCACCAAAACTGACGAGGACCTGATTTCACGTGTCGTGACACATTTATTTTGTTCCCCAGGCAGGAATCAGTCCACTCAGCCAGGCTGTTATCCATCAACATTTTGCCGCGGCATTGAGATTACTAGACGCTTGTCCCAGGGCCTCCCTGATTTCATTTTTGAGCGTAAGATAGGTTTTTCTTTTATCCTTTCACTGAATTTTGCATTTCTTTCAATACAATAAGTTGTTATTGCAAATTTGCTTCTCACATTGTTGCACGGCTGCATCGTTCGACTGTGTGTGTGTGTGTGTGTGTGTGTGTGTGTGTGTGTATGTGTGTTTAAATATGTGTGTGTAGGTGTGTGTAAGTGTGTGTGTGTGTGTGTTGAGGTGTGTGCGTATGTAGGTGTGTGTGTGTGTGTGTGTGTGTGTGTGTGTGTGTGTGTGTGTGCGTGTGTGTGTGTGTGTGTGTGTGAGAAAGAGAAAGGGAGAGGGGAGAGAGAGAGGGGAGGGAGAGAGAGAGGGGGAGTGAGAGAGGGAGAGAGAGAAAGAGAGACAGAGAGAGACAGAGAGAGAACATACGTCTATGTGTTTGTAGACGCCTGTGTACTCTAGGGCTACCTGCTTCCACTTTTCTAGATATTTGTCATTTGTTTTAGTATCTAGATATAAAAAAAAAAATTGTAGACTCATCTGAAGTCTAAGGCAATGACAGATTTGCTTTAAATTGGCTTTAATATTTTCTTGCCAACCAACAAAATGAATCACAATAACTGAGTACTGAGAGATTTTTTAATATACAGCCCTTCAGGAACATTTTCTTTCTATCTGCTTACGATTCTATGTTATTTCCTTGTTCAATCGAGCCTTTTTTGTGTGCGTTGGAAATGTTTTGATACTAGAGTGTCAAAATGACCTAATGCTGCTTCGCTTCCTTGTAAAAAAGGGGGGCATGCAAGAGCTGTCCAATAGTGCAGCGTCTAAAAATGAAGAGGCGGTGAGCGGTACACTACTCTCACTGTCATTGGCGGTAATGACTGTGAATGGGAGGGGCCAGGAAGAAATGGGCGGGACAAACACAGTGCGACAACTACTGGAGACCATCCGTGACCACGTCAGCACCATTGAGGTAAGATCATGGGCAGGCAAAAAAGTAAAGGAAAGGAAAAGTAGACTGACTAGAGTAACAATAAGGACGAATCAGCAATCTATTAACAATTATCGCAAGTAAAAAAGAACCCAGAAAACCCAGTGCGCTATGGTGTTATTCTATGGAGCAACAATGTACACATTAAAGAGGATTGTCTGTTTGTTAACAATAATTCATCTCCTATGACCTTATGCAGTTGCGAGCGCCGTAAAACCCTCTACTACTACTCTCTATGGATGTCTCCTTTGTCTTTCCTATATTATTAAACTGCTAAAGTTTTGACCAATTTTTTTGGTATCTACCTCAGCCCTTTTCCCTTGGTCTTCCTCTCTTTTTCTGACAATAGAGACTCCATCTGGTGATGGACATACTCGATTAATTTTTTAAAAATAATCCCCTCAAAAAACAAACAAACAATCAAACAGCAACAACCAACAAACTAAACCAACACACCAATGAACAAACAAACAGAACACCATGGAAACCGGCGAAGAGCCTTTTTTTTTTTAGTCCAATCTAATACAATGGAAATTGTCTAAGATGATCATCCCCTGGCGACTCGAAAAGTGGTTGTCTTAATCAAGTGGATGTCTCAGTGTTACCATATGTAAAAAAATGTGAGGCAGCGTGGTGGAATCAGGCTCTCGTCAAAATAATGAAATCGAAGAAAATAGCAATTTTCTCCCTCATTACAATTTTTATAAAATTTTTGTTTTTTGGCTCAACACCTTTTTTGTCTATTTACAAACACATTCCTTTGAGGATTTCACCTAAAAACGTTGATTAAAGGCACAAAAATATAAATTTACAGTTTCCATGGACTCTCTAGCTTTGGAATTTATCAAGCTTTGGCGGCCATTTACTCGCTAATTTTACCTCTGAAATCAGGTGACCCCCACCTCCTTCAATCCATAATATCTCCATTTCTTTTGAAGATGGGCGGGTAATTTTTTAATTGAAAGCAAGACAAATGAACAAGCTTTAGGATGTTACCAATAACTCAATATGCTAAAAAATTGACGAGAGCCTGATTCCACCACGCTGCCTCACAAATACTCAAGGGAGGTCAAGGCCGTTTTACAGGTGATTATCTTTGTATGCAGGAAACCGTTAAAGCAGCTTCAGCTTCACCAGAAAGTACCGGAGGGCCCATGTCACATTAAGTTAAATAGAGCAAACACAGTCAATGACAATGGCGCTCTTAGAGCTGACTAAAAACTATGAAGCTATTTACTTCAATCTAAGCTAGGGTATAGATAGTGTTTACAAAAAGATGGCTACAGACGGAGCTGTTTGTCTTATCCGTTTCAAATTTTTCACAGACATTAGCATCTTCGTGCTTGCTGTTAGCCTTGCTTTTATGGCGAGGTGAGCCCTTAGAAAATTACAAACACGTTCATGAAGGAATCGAAGACATCCCAAAAACAGTGGTGTGGGAAGACCGTGGTGATGTCTTCTTTGAAAGCCAGGGTAAGATAATGAAGAGCAATGTGTAAACGTTGCATGTTTGATATCAAGATTTAATTTATCATTGCTACTTTTGTTGACTATCAACTGGTGTCATCTGTGTCATAAAGATTATTTTCTTTGCTGTAGCTCCCATGAGATAAGAGTTTGATTTCTAGTTTAAGCGAGTTATCCTATTGTGTATCCCTTTCTGTCGAATGGCTTGCGGTATTCATCTGTGTGCAGGTTGTCCTTGACAGGCAAGGTCCACAAAGTGGCTAGTCTCCTTAATTGTATAGACAGTGTCAAAGGGGGCATTATAACTGTTTACAGTCCTTTGGGGTTAATAGTTGATAAAACAGCGTTTGTGAGTGTGGCTTTCGTATTTCAGAAAGGAGTGGACGAGAGAGAGAGAGAGAGAGAGAGAGAGAGAGAGAGAGAGATAGAGAGATAGAGAGAGAGATAAAGATAGATATATAGACAAATAGATAGATAGGTAGATAGATATAT